CTCCTCCTCCTCCTCCTCCTCCTCTTCCTCCTCCTCCTCCTCCTCCTCCTCTTCCTCCTCCTCCTCCTCCTCCTCTCCTCCGCTTCCTCTTCCCTTTTCTTCCTCCTTTCTTTTCTTCCTCCTCCGCTTCCTTCCTCCGCCCTCCGCCTCCTCCTCCGCCCCTCCTCCTCCTCCACTCCGCCCTCCTCCTCCTCCCCCCTTCCTCTCCTCCTCCTCCTCTCCTCCTCTCCTCCTCCTCCTCCTCCTCCTCCTCCTCCTCCTCCTCCTCCACTTCATCTTTCCCTCATAAACAACTCCTCCCCGTCGCACCCCCAGACGTATCGGTAGGGCGGGCCGTGCGTTTCGCCTGAGAATTCTTCACCGCTTCTCACTCTGAAGCTTAACACTTGCAACAGTCTCAAGGACGGCGGGCGGCACTCTTTCAAAATGTAGATCTCGCCTCAGCGCCGCGCACAATCGTAATGGGCGTGTGCAGCAGCTTCAAAGATGTAGGACGGATGGATTCCAAAGTGTGGCTCTCGCCTTAGCGCCGCACGCATTTATCTTAAAATGTGCGCAACAGCTTCAAAAATGAGGACGGCTCCTTTTCGGAAATGTGGCTCTCGCCGCAGCACCGCGTACATGAATCTGCAAAGTACGCAACCGTTTCAAGGGTTCGTATGGCTGAAGTCCTAAGAAGCGCGTTCTGGCACGATTCGGGACTGTCAGGACGCAACCGTGATGTTGTTTCGCCGTGTTGGAATACAAGGAACGGTGTTCGGGTACGATCTAGGACTGTCAGGACAAAAATCACGTTGCCTCGTGGCGTTAAAATCACAGGAATTGTGTTTCGGCGCGACTGCGGATTCTCAGACGGTTGAATTCCAACTGGGCGCTTCCCGCAATGACACTAAATTCTTGTAGGGAGCTATTGAGAGGGAACTTGGAGGGAGGGCTTACTGCACCATCGTCGGTGCATCGTGGGCTCACAATGGCCCTCATCCACCGCCTGCTCCTTATCATCATCATCATCATCATCATCATCATCATCATCATCATCATCATCATCATCATCATCATCATCATCATCATCATCATCATCATCATCATCATCATCATCATCATCAGCAGCATCAGCATCATCATCATCATCATCATCAAATTCATCATCATAATCATCAGCATCAGCATCATCATCATCATCATCATCATAGCATCTTAACATCTTAACATCTTCACAACATAACATCAGCATCATCATCATCAGCATCATCAGCATCATCAGCATCATCATCATCAGCAGCATCATCATCATCATCATCATCTTCTTCTTCCTCCTCCTCCTCCCCTTCCTCCTCCTTCTCCTCCTCCCTCCTCCTCCTCCTCCTCCTCCCTTCCTCCTCCTCTCCTCCTCCTACCTCCCCTCCTCCTCTCTTCCCTCTTCTTCCTCCTCCTTTTCCTCCTCCGCCTCCTCCTCCTCCCTCCTCACCCCTTCCTCCTCCTCCCCCTCCTCCACCTCCTCCTCCTCCTCCTCCTCCTCCTCCTCCTCCTCCTCCTCCGCCTCCCCTGCCCTCCTCCTCCCTCCTCCTCCTCCTCACTGTTCCTCCCTCCTTCCCTTTCTCCCCCCACCCCCCCGGGGCCCCCCGCGGGCCGCCGGCGGGCCCAGCCGCCGTGAGGGTGGCAGGGCCCGAGTCTTCACTCGCCGTGTCCTCCGCCGACGACGACGACGACGACGACGACGACGACGACGACGACGACGACCACGACGACCACGACGACCACGACGACGACCACGACGACCACGACGACCACGACGACGACGACCAGTGGAAGAAGCCCGAGGTGGGCTTCGTCCTCCATTCTCCTCCTTCTGCTCATCCTCCTGCTCATCCTCCCTGTTGCTTGTGAAGACCTCCTGTCACACCCCCAGACGTGTCGGAGGGGCGGCCGAGCGTTTGGCCCGAAACCTCCTCATCATTATGGATGGAGGGCGGGTGGTTTTCGAAATGTGGCTCCCGCTTTAGCGCCCGGCATATCCGGCCGAGAAGATTGTTGCACCAGTTTCACGGATGGAGGACGGGTGGCTTTAGGAATGGGGGAACAACGGTCACGTTGATTCTGTGTATATCCCAGGAACGGCGCTTGGGGAAGATTTTCTCAAGACCCAACAGTCGCATTCATTCGCGGCGCTGAAGTCGAGGAATCGGGCTTGCAGAGACCTGTAAAGAGGGCACCTGTAGGAAAGGTGTACTGCAACACTGTTGATGCGGTGCTGGTTTACTCTGACCCTCCTCCTCCTCCTCCTCCTCCTCCTCCTCCTCCTCCTCCTCCTCATCCTCCTCCTCCTCCTCCTCTTCCTGCTCCTCCTTCTCCTCCTCCTCCTCATCCCTCCCACCCTCCCTCCCTCACTTTATCCTCCTCCTCCTCCTTCCCCTCCTCCTCCTCCTCCGCCTCCTCCTCCTCCGTCGCCGCTGCGCCCCTTTGGTGTTTGGGACAGGGACGTTCGCTCTTCCTGGGTCTC